ATAGATAGATGAAAAAAGAGAGAAAGAAAGAGAGATAGCTATGAAGAGTGTGTGGTCTAAATAGATGTTGAAAGAAAGAAAGAAAGAAAGAAAGAAAGAAATAGATAGCTAAGAAGAGTGTCTGGTCTAAATAGGTTTTGATAGAATGAACTGATAGATAGATAGATAGATAGATAGATAGATGGTTTGAAAGATAGAAAGAAAGAAAGAACGAAAGAGATAACTAAGAAGACTGTGTGATATAAATAGATGTTGATAGAATGAACTGATACATAGATAGATAGATAGATAGATAGATAGATAGATAGATAGATAGAAAATGTACAGACTCAGATAGATAGATAGATAGATAGATAGAAAAAAAGAAAGAAAGAAAGAAAGAAAGAAAGAAAGAAAGAAAGAAAGAAAGAAAGAAAGAAAGAAAAATAGCTATGAAGAGTGTGTGATCTAAATAGATGTTGATAGAATAAACACAAAGAAAGAAAGAAAGAAAGAGATAGTTAAGAAGAGTGTCTGGTGTAAATAGGTTTTGATAGAATGAACTGATAGATAGATAGATAGATAGATAGATAGATAGATAGATAGATAGATAGATAGATGGTTTGAAAGATAGAAAGAAAGAAAGAACGAAAGAGATAAGTAAGAAGAGTGTGTGATATAAATAGATGTTGATAGAATGAACTGATAGATAGATAGATAGATAGATAGATAATGTACAGACTCAGATAGATAGATAGATAGATAGATAGATAGATAGATAGATAGATAGATAGATAGAAAGAAAGAAAGAAAAATAGCTATGAAGAGTGTGTGATCTAAATAGATGTTGATAGAATAAACACAAAGAAAGAAAGAAAGAAAGAGATAGTTAAGAAGAGTGTCTGGTGTAAATAGGTTTTGATATGAATTGATATATATATATATATATATATATATATATATATATATATATATATATAGATAGATAGATATGAACGGCCAAAGATAGATAGATAGATAGATAGATGCGAACAGACCGAGACAGATAGATAGAAAGATAGATAGATGATTTGAAAGAAAGAAAGAAAGAGATAACTAAGAAGAGTGTGTGATATAAATAGATGTTGAAAGAATGAACTGATAGATAGATAGATAGATAGACAGATAGATAGATAGATAGAATGAGGATGAGTCAACTGTATATGGTATGGTGGTTCTTAGTTGTAAATATCTGAACTGGTGGAATCAAAGAATGTCGTTCACCCGAACATCTGTTATTTAAAATCGTGATACATGTTCTTTGACCCATGACTTGATTGTAACGATCAGGAAAGCAACCTGTCAAGTCCATGTCCCACAATGCAACAGTTCTGGGAATGAGGATTAGACAATTCGGTGTACGTGGCACATATATAAAATAGCCATAGAGTAGCGAGAAGGTAGCATTGTTTCATCTATGGGGGAGAGGGTGTAGGGTGGAGACCAGTTCATCACCCAAAAGGCCGTGCAGATGCTGGAAAATGAGGATTGGCTAGCTCCGACCCAGATGTGGCAGCAATACTCCATTTTTGGTCTGATCTAGCTCTTGTAAAGACATTGCATGGCAGGAGGAGTCAGGTGCTTTCTGGAGTGGTTCAAGGAGCCAACCACTTGTCCAGTATCTTTTTGAGCTTGAATTCCAATAGATTGTTCCATCCAAGGAACTTCATTGAGAGTACAACTGCTCATGACGACTGGAGAGGGTCTGCCCTGTGATCATGGAAAGTTGCCAGCTTGGTTTTGGAGGTATTGAATATTACAAGCCACTTCCTCCCCAATTGTGCTTTGCAAGCAAGAACAGAGGAGAGAGCAGCTCCCAAGTACTAATCATCTAGAATTTTGGTAGTGCTGCCATGAACTGTGGTATTATCTGTGCATATATATTTACTAGCAAAAATCCTGATCTTTGACTAGGATTTCTCATCTTCCTATAATATTAAGCCCAAACACTAGGGGTCCCCCCAGACATTACCTCTGCTTCAGGAGGGAACTGAGTTTATTGCCTGGCACCTGAGGCATCCCCAAAAGGGGGAAGTGATTAAGAGAGTAGACGAGAAACAGTGTGAGGCCTCGTCAGTTTGAAACGCCGGTTCTTGTATGATCATTGAAGTTAAGCAACATTCAGTCTGGTCAGTACCTAGATGGGTGACCGTTTCTGAATACCAGGTGCTGTAAGCTTGGATGTGCAGATGTTATAATGGCCTTATGGCCATATCATATTGAAATGCCGGTTATTGTATGATCACTGGAGTTAAGCAAGGTTGAGTCTGATCAGTAACTAGATGGGTGACCGCCTGGGAATACCAGGTGCTGCAAGCTTGGATATACGGGTTTTATAAAGGACTTATGACCATATCACATTAAAACGCCGGTTCTTGTATGATCACTGAAGTTAAGCAACGTTGAGTCTGGTCAGTAACTAGATTGGTGACCGGCTGAGATAGTTTTATTTGCTTACGCACAACTACCATTATCCCCCATAATTATCAAGAATTGTAGCCCTAAACCATGATCTCATAAAAATTGTTACAAAAATATTTTCTGACTTGAAATAATCTGTAATCTCATCTCAGAGATATAGGTAAACATTGAAGAAGGCCGAAGAGTACAAAGGCCGAAACGTTGTGAATATGGCAATGTAGCTGAGGATAACAGTCCGAATAATGTAAATGATAAAATTAATCGTAATACCTGATCTCGGAGATCCAATCACCTGAAGAAGGCCGGAGAGTACAACGGCTGAAACGTTGTGAATATGGCAATGAAGATGAGGATAACAGTCCGAATAATGTAAATGATGTAAGTAATCATAATACTCATCTCAGAGATATAGGTAGACATTGAAGAAGGCCGGAGCGTACAACAGCCGAAACGTTGTGAATATGGCAATGAAGATGAGGATAACAGTCCGAATAATGTAAATGATACAATTAATCGTAATATCTTATCTCGGAGATCCAATCACTTGAAGAAGGCCGGAGCGTACAACGGCCGAAACGTGAATATGGCAATGAAGATTAGGATAACAGTCCGAATAATGTAAGTAATCATAATACCTCAGAGATAAAGACAGATACTGAAGGTAATCCTGGTGATGAGAAAGAAAAAAGAGGCAGTTTATAAGGATATGATGCCTGAGGACTTGGAAGAAAAAAGAACCCAAATCCGTAAGGAAAATCATCCACTCAAAAAAAAAAAAAAAAATGTAGAAGTGGCCTAAATGCTAAATTCTCGTCGTTCCGTCTCCACAGTTTCGTCCATGTTGAATTTGTTCGTTCAAGCATACGGCTGTGACGGGATGAATACAACCAGATTTGTAACAAATGAATTTGTTTACCAGCGCTAATGGTTTTTCTATTAGTTCAATATGCTTATCTTTTCAATGTATCGAATCAGAAAATTCGATGTAGTTGAGACTTACTAGTTTATTCAAGTTAAGATTATTAATTTTGTTTGTGAATATGCCGAGTCTAAAGTCCGTCTCATTTTTGTTTTCAATTCACTAGGTAATCATTGGCACACATATAGACTCACCCGCATCTACGCCCACTCTCGCTTTTCTAAAACAGAAAATTAATTTTCTCTTCCATAAAATGAATATCTGAAACTACGAAAAACTGTTCTCTCCATTTCTTTTTATTAGAATTTATTTTCTTTCCATAGAGTGTCTTTGCTGACTTTATTTTCGAGGAAAGAGAAAGCAGAAAAAAGGTTTCTTTAAAAAGCAACGGATCGCCATCTTTATTTACTGAAATATTTCATTTTTGAGTTATATTTTTTTTTTTTCAGATTCATTCGTCATTATTTTTCATTCTGATTCATTCGTTCTTTTTCTTTTCTTCACATAATCTTTTCTGACGCTATAAATGAATCTTTCTTTTGTTTTTCATCAGATCTTTCTTTCGTTCGTTCTTTTTTTTCTTTCTTTGTTTTCCTGTCATATTTGGAATTTCTTTCTTTCTTTCTTTCTTTCTTTCTTTCTTTCTTTCTTTCTTTCTTTGCCATCCATAACGTTTCTTTCATCTTTCTTTCTTTTTTCTTTCTTTCCTTCTTTCATATTAAATTTCTATTTTTGCCATCCATAGATTTTCTTTCTTTCTTTCTTTCTTTCTTTCTTTCTTTCTTTCTTTCTTTCTTTCTTTCTTTGCCATCCATAACGTTTCTTTCATCTTTCTTTCTTTTTTCTTTCTTTCCTTCTTTTATATTAAAGTTCTATTTTTGTCATCCATAGATTTTCTTTCTTTCTTTATTTCTTTCTTTCTTTCTTTCTTTCTTTGCCATCCATAACTTTTCTTTCATCTTTCTTTCTTTTTCTTTCGTTCCTTCTTTCATTTTAAATTTCTGTTTTTGCCATACATAGATTTTCTTTCTTTCTTTCTTTCTTTCTTTCTTTCTTTCTTTCTTTTCTTTCCTTTTTTACTATGTACACAAAGCCACGACGTCTACCTCCCCCACCCTAACTTAATCGATCACTGAACAACTGAATGGGCTTCAATCAATTGAAATCAAATCAAACCCAATCAATCGATGCTATTCAATCTGATAAGCACAAAAGACGCCGGTCCTGATTGGTTAGATCTGTTAATCTTGTTGTTCAAGGCACGAGATATTACTTAGGAACAACACGCCGTATGTGTACGCATGCGCGTTTCTATGTGTTCAAAGCAAAAAAAAAAAAAAAAAAAAAAAAAGAAAGAAACACTAATGAATAGAGAAACACACATACAACCACACGCGTAAGGGCATATTCTTTTCACTCACAAGTGCACTATTTCTCTAAATAGTGTCTATGTTTAAGGCATAATTTGTTATTTTTACCGTAAGCATAATTCTCCTTTGCCTTTCAACTTCAGTACATATAATAGGCGTCATGGCGTCTAATGAACGTGCCGTGGGCGCTGCTCGAAGCCACATTTGATAACCAACCATAAAAGATGCTGCTATTATTTCTGTTTTCTTTTATATAAAAAATCAAGTGAAAAGTTTATCCCATATCAAATTATCCATTTACTTGTTTTCGAAAATATATTTAAATTTATTTTCGAAATATTTTCGAATATTTTCGCATAGTGATATGAGTTCTATAGTCAGTTATGTGCTATGCGTGATACACGCTTAGGCGATACATGACTGACGAGTCAGATTTTTTCCCGCAGTAGGTTGTCATTTCTTTCTGCGGTAGACCAGTTGCCATCTAAGCCTATAGAACCCGGTCTGTTCTCCTATTTACCCGAAGCTGGAGGGAAAAGAAGAAGGTTCATACCTTTCCCAAGGGTATTAGCACGCCAGTCTGTCAGTTATGTGCCATGGATGATACACGCTTAGGCGATCATTTATCTTTCGATGCATGACTGACGAGGCAAATTTTTCCCCGCAGTAGTTTGCCATTTCTTTTTGCGTTAGACCATTTGCATCCAAGTCTATAGAACCCTGTCTATTCTGCTATTTAACCGTAGTTAGAGGGAAAAGAAGAAGATTCACACCTTTCCCAAGGGTATCAGTACGTAAGTGAATCTAATGGATGCGAGTGGAATTCGAACTCGGCTCTCCGATTCCTCAATCTGAGCCGCTATTACTCCACCGTGCCTCCGTGTTGACAACTTACTTTATTAGTTGTATCCATAATTATATTGTTAAATCTCTATCTATAAAAGGCAGGATGTGTGTGTGTGTGTGTAACGAATGCACGGCCGCAATTTTCGACGGATTTGCACCAAAATTTACATGCACATGCTCCAAGTTAGCGGAAAGGCCAAGAACGAATTTGCATTTCCCAACTCCTATCGATAGTGGAAATAATCGATTTTTTCATGCTTCTACGGCAGTTTTCATGTACTTTGCGGCCATTTTCTACTGGCCAGAGTGACAGCCTATAGCCGGCTGCCACGAATAGGCAAGAAGATTCTATTGGCCAGCGTGAGAGCCAACAGCTGACTGACACGAATGTTAACTAGAATGCTAGCATGCAAAAAAATCGATAGCTGCATTCGTCACAAGTGGGAAAATTTAAATCTGCATGGCACTTTACTTGAATTGGCTCTTTGGCTTTCTTAAACTCAACGTTGATTCTGATTCCGCAGAACTGGGTTGGGTGTGAAAAAGTATTTGTTGTTAACATTCTTTTTCATTCGGTTTTTCCAGTTACGAGTCCTTTTTTAAATCTGATCGTTTTGTATTCATTTTGTTTAGTTCTTTTTTCGTAACAGATTTAATGTTTAGTATAGAGCTTAGAAAAAATTCGCAGTGTGAGATAGGCAAGAAGTAAGGCATGTAGCAACATCAGCACGGCATAGGGCACTCCTTTAAAGGCAAGGAAGGGCAAAAATATTTTAAGTCAAGTGATAGCGATTTTTGTATGAGTCGTACGATTTTTAAATCAAGCCCGGGCAACGCCGGGCCATGCTGCTAGTATGCGACAAGAATTGTTAATATAGGGGGATAGTGGAAAAGGCTTTTGTTGACAATTTATCAGGGTTGACGATTTTGTTGACAAGTTATCAGAGTGCCACGAAAGTTCTGAAAGTTTGGAACAAGAAATAATTTCGGTAATGCCGTGGCGTCAAATAATCTGTGAAAGTTCCGCTTCTCTTAAAAGGCGTAAAATAAAACGTGGTAGAGCAAATGAAAGGAAGAAGAAAATAGAAAAGAAGAAGAAAAAGAAAAAGAAAAAAAGAGAAAAGGAAAGAAATGAAGGTAATAAGAGCATTGAGAAGAGGAAAGTGAGAAATGTAAGGGAAGAAAAATGAGAAGTAAAAAAAAAAAGAGGAGAAAAAGAAGAATTCGTGTGGCGTCAGCGCTACAAGAACAGTCCTGTGTTTACAGATTTTATTTGCTACGTCGTTCACCATTACCCGTTGTAATGTTGTTGAATTTTAATAAACGCATATACATTGGTCTTATTGATTTTTATTACGGGAAGATATTTTGCAAGAAGACTGTTGCTGACTAAAGCTCGTCAACCCTCTTAGGGAGCCTATAGCTGTAGGACTGCGTATATGTTACTTCGAGGCTCTTCTTCATCTTTAAAGAGATTGCCTAGCATTCGCTGCTATAGAGGAGGACGGATATCACGTAACAGTCAAGTATTGTTTTCTTTGTTTCCAACGACATTTTCCCGTCTCTTAATACTCTGCTTAGCTTTTGGAAAGCGTCTTTGGCAATCCCAATACATCATCAGTTTCCAAAGTCTGTTACGTTCAGGACTAGGCTTACTCTAAATTCAAAACCTCAAAAAGGGACAGATTTTAATTTTTATAAAGTTGTTTCTGAACTCGGCAATCCTCTTAGGGAAGCTTTTAACTGTGTCGCGCTGATCAGC